CCCCCCCCCCCCCCCCCCCCCCCCTTTTTTTCCCCCCCCCCCCCCCCCCCCCCCCCCCCCCCCCCCAAAAAAACCCCCCCCCCCCCCCCCCCCGGGGGGGCCCCCCCCCAAAAAAACCCCCCCCCCCCCCCCCCCCCCCTTCTCTCTCCCCCCCCCTTCTCTCTCTCCCCCCCCTTCTCTATTCCCCCCCCCTTCTCTCTCTCCCCCCCCCTTCTTATCTCCCCCCCTTTCTCTCTCTCCCCCCTTCTCTCTCTCTCCCTCTCCCCCCTTCTCTCTTCTTCCTCTCCTCCCCCCCCCCTTCTCTCTCTCTCCTCTCTCCCCCAACCGCTTCACTCACTCTCCTCTCTCCACTCCCCTCTCTCTCTCTCTCTCACGCCCCCCCCTTCACTCTCTTCAAATACACCTCCCCCACCTTCGCTCTCTCCCCCCACCCACTCTCTCCCCGCCCTTCTCTCACTCTCCACTCTCTCCACACCCTTCGCTCTCTCACTCCTCTCTCCCCCCCTTCTCTCTCACTCTCCCTCACTCCAGCCCCCCTTCTCTCTCGCTCTCCTCGCTCCCCCCCTTCTACTCTCTCGATCCTCTCCTCAGCCCATCTCAGCTCCTCCTCTCAACCCCCTTCGCCACCGTCTCTTCCTCGCTACCCCCCTCCCCACTTCCCTTTCACGCTCAACTCGTTCTCCCCCCCCAATCTCTCGCTCTCATCTCTCCCCTTCACTCTCACTGGTCGCTCCTCTCTTCCACAACCTTAACTCACTCACTCCTCTCCCTGCCCCGTTCGTCTCTCTCTCTCCTCTCTCCCCACACTTCTCTCATCTCTCCTCTCTCACCCTCCCTTCTCTCAGACCTCCTCTATTCCCCCACTTCTCTTAACTCCCTTCCACCCTCCTACTCTCAGCCCATCTCACTCTCTCCTCTTTCCGTCCCCATCCCGGCGTCCTCATCGACCCCCTTCACCTTCCCTCTCTCCCACCCTTCTCTCTCTTCTCCGCCCCCCCCTCGAGATCGTGGGATTTGTTCTCACCTATAGGACAGCGATTGATCCGAGCCTCATCCCTCATCAAGTACGGTTTCCCTCCCAGCTTGACAATCCTCACTCATCTTCTCCACCGTCTGTGGAAGGTATTGTACCTGTCAGTCTGGTATATTATACTGGATTTATATGGCGGCAGTAGGTGTGCTCTGCGCTGTTCATTACAGTGGGCTCCCCACCGACAGACCATCCCCCCCTATACACGAGGGGTTTGTGGGCCCTGATCCTTGAGCTTACCCTCCTCCCTATACAATGTTATGTGGGGGGAGGGGGGGGGACCTCTCCCAGGTCCCACTGTCATCTCAGAGTGAGTCAATGAGTACTGGAGATCCCACCATCCCCATGAGCATGATATTCCCCGCCTGACCCCTACTGACCACATAGGCATGGTGGCGGGTCTGTCCTCCCCCCCCTCCTCGGACCAGAGAGATACAGGGGACGCTGATGCTGACACATGCCTCGCCCCCTGAAAACCCACCCACCTTTTCTCGCTATCCACGCCATCCTTGAAGCAACCTATCTCGTGGCCAACGGCCCCCTGAAGCCACCACCTCCTCCCCCTTGAGTGACAGCACATCCTACATATGCCCACCTACAGGTCTGAGGACACACCTCTCCCTCTCCCCTACACCCCAGCTCCTCTACCTTCGGAGGAGATTGGCGCCTCATCCGTCCCCACGTCCAGCTACTAGACCTGCCCCCTCCTCCTCCCCACACATTCCTTTGTTTCTGATACTGTACATGTAGCCCATCATGAATTATTCGATGGAGCCGGTTGTGATTGTTTCCCATAAACCTTAAGCACAACTCCAGCCCAATCTACGGACCCTTCCTCCCCATCACTTCATAAAACTGCGAAAAAAGAGGTTCTCCGTTACCCCCCCGTCGTAAACAGAATCCATGACTCCTATGGAGAGGCCAGCCGAGTGTCCGCCCTCGGTACAGGACATGCGAAGCCAAGGGTAGCCTCTCCTCGACCACAATCCCCACCTCCCGTGGTCCCCAGGATCGTTCGTGTGTGCCGGCAATGCTCCCCCCTTATTAGTCAGTAAATGTCATTTCTTTCCCCCGATTTGGTGGAAACATCCACCACCCTAACCCAACCCACCCTCAGCGCCCCCACCACAACTGGCGGGGCAGCCTCTCGTCACGGCCAGCTACTCTCAATAGGTAGGTCTGCGGTGTACACGTGCCGGATAGATATCCAAATAGGACTCCAATTGTTCCCTCCCTCGACCCACCCCTTCCCCCGTTTGGTAGATCAGGAGAGAGGATACTGGAAGAGGAAAGCAGATTCCAAGTCCAGATGTCCTGGTGACCCAGTTCCCCCCTCACTCAGTGTCTCGGTGCCTTCAATCAGTCCCCCATCCCCGGCATTCATATCCCAGATCCCTCCCAAACGTACAACAGGTGACCCTATCCCCCCCGATCCTCAATCCCCATGCCAAAGCATGTCCCACGAACGTCCCAGACGTCCCCCCCCCATCATTGTGATGATCCCCGCCCTCCAATCCCTCCAATGAAATACCCCCAAATCCCACAATTCTACAGAAAATCACCGTCTCCACCTCCCAAGCACCCCCCTCTTAAAACACCCCTTGTACATAGAAACCCCTAATCCCCCCGTCAACTATGAGAAGTAGAAGCTGGCATATTGTAACCTTCCATTCCCCAGTCCCCACCCCCTCTTCCCCCCAAATTACCTACCCTCCAATGCGGCGTGACATGGAAGCTCTCCACCTGTGGCACATCCTGATGGTGTTATGGATGATCCCCCCCCCGTCCATAGCCCCCCCCCCAACCCAACCTCCTACCTCTCGTTCGGCCCTCCTCATGTCATCCTCTATCTTTCTCCCGCGCATCCCACCAATTGTAACCCCCGTCTCGGCTTCAGACCCCCATCGAGAGTTTGCTGGCCAATCAAGCACAGCCACCTCCCAACGCCTCATCCCAGAGCCAGGTCTCTCCACCCTGCTTTTGGCCAGTCTGGGGCGGTGGCCATGTCCTGCGGGTAAACTAAGTCCCCCGTTCTCCTGTCACCCTCCTCCTGCGGAGGATCCGCCCCACCCCTCCACTCACACAATCCAGGTTAGACCCCTCCCATCCCCCCCCCTGGACTCAATTCGCACAGAGGACCAACCCCAGCAGATTCCACTGGCTCCTCTCAAACCAACACCTCAGACTGCCCCCCAAACTTCCACCACTCTCCCCCCCGCTACATGGCAACGCTGTGCAGTGTGTGCCTCTTGATTCTTCCTCCATACTCGGGGCCAACTTTCCTCACCCTCCCACACCCACCCCCACCAACACGGCTTCCACCCGCCCCTCCCATTCTTCCAACCCCCTCCCCATCCCTTCCTCCCCCCTCCGTCCTCCCCCCCCGTTCCTTCCTCCATTTCTCAGGTCCTCCCTCCCCCCCCCCCCCCCCCCCCCCTCCCCGTCCCCCTCCCCTCCCCTCCCCCTCCAACCTCCTCCCCCCAGCTCTCGCTTCCCGCATACTCCTGGTCTTTCCGGCCTCTCCAATCGCTTCCTCGTATCACCTCACTACCAGTATCTCGGGGTCCTGGGCCTTTCTCCACTTTCCTCACTTCCCCACTCCCCTGCTCCCCCCTCCCCACCACTTCTTCCCTCCCTTGGCCGCCTGCCTCATCGCTCCGTCTCGCCTGCACTGGCCAGGTGCCTATCCCCTCACTAGCCAGCCGCTCTCCATCCCCCACGACCCCCTGCCTCGCCCTCTTACAGCCCCCCGCGGGGGGGGGGGGCCCTTCCGCCACTCTCCCCCCCCAGACGGGGCTTGCAACCTCCCCATCCGCCTCTCTCCTCTCCTCATCTACCCCTTTCTTACACCCTTCTGACCCCCGCTGCCCCCCCCCGCCCTCGCCCCCTTCCCTCCGACAACCCCGACGATCCGAACCACTGCTCCACCTGCTTCCCATCCGAGCAGCCCGGCCTCCTCCCGTAATCACAACACTCTTAAACCTACCCAATCCGAACCCCCCTCCCTACCTGCCCAAAATTCCCCCGCTCCCCTATCATGCCGCTAGCCAAGCGAGCCCCACTTGAGCTGCGCTCCCTGTAACCCCCCCCCGCCCCCGTACTAACCCAAATCCCTCGTCCGCCTATCCCCCTGCGCCCATCCGCGCCTCCGTACCCCGCCCTTCGAACTTATTTCCCCACTCCACCTCACCACATGGCTTCCTCTTTTTTTTTATTTTGGCTCACTACTCCCCTTACACCTTGTTCTTTTTTTCCCCCTGCCGCGTTTTTTTTCTTTTTATACCCGCGCCCTCGTCCGCCGCCACGCCCACTGCAGCCGCACCCTCCGTGTCGTCCTCTGCAACCCCCATTCGACCTGCCGCCCCCCCACCGCGACCCCCCCCTCCCTCACAGCGACCTCGCGCCCCACTCGGCCTGCTACATCTACTCCTCCCCTACCCAAGCGTCCACCCTTCGCACTCGCCCCCGCCGCTCCGCTCCAACCTAACGCTACTTTCTCTACCCTCTCTCACCCCTGGCCCTCCACTCCCCCACCCCCCTTGCCCAGGTAACATCATGAACTTCTTCTGGATGCACATTGTATCGGTTGTGTTGCAGGGGATCCTCTCCGGGAATTGGGCAGTGAATGCGGCATCGAGTTTGATGAGGAGAAAACGGCGGTCATTGATCACCACAACTATGACATATCCGACCCGGGACAGGTGAGTACGGAGAACACAGATCCACCCATTTTCTAGCCGATTTCCCCCCCCCCCCCCGGGATGAAGGCGCGTTATCTCCTCTTCTTTCTCCCTCAGCACACGTTGGTTGTTGCGGATTCTCAGAACCTCCTGAAGGCTCCGACCATTGTGGGGATGTCCACCCTGAACCCAATTCTCTTCAGAGGTGTCGGGTGAGTGTGCAGACATTCCAGTATCCGTTCTGCGCTCCTCCTGTCGCTGTTCTAATCTGCATCTTTCTGTATTACACAGGATGGTGGCCGATCCAGATAACCCCCTGGTACTGGACATCCTAACCGGATCCTCCACATCCTACTCGTTTTTTCCAGATAAAGCCATTACACAGGTAAGCCTCGCCTTCTATTCCTACATCCCAGTCACAGCACCTCCAGCCTGGAGTTTGCATGTTCTCCCTGTGCCTGTGTGGGTTTCCGCCGAATACTCCGGTTTCCTCCCACACTCCAAAAGACATGCTGGGAGGTGAATTGGCTCCTGTCTAAATTGGCCCTAGTATGTGTATGTATGAATGTGAGTTAGGGACCTTAGATTGTACGCTCCTCGGGGGCGGGGACTGATGTGAATGTACAATATATATGTAAATTGATGGCGCTATATAGGTACCTGAAAAAAAATGTATACACTTCAGATGATGGAGATATTCTTCTGCTCATTCTGAACTCTGACTTCAGTTATAGTTGTGGAGAAAAAAAAAAGAATCAAAGATCAGTGTGGAGTTAGCCATAGCAACAGTACCACTTGCCTGTCCTGGGATCCAGCGCCTCATCTCCTTTTCAGCACACGGCCGCCAGCACTGCCAGTCTAAGTGCCTGCACCTCGTTCTGTCAGAAGACCGCTCTCTTCATTGGCACCGCCTTTAAATTTAAGAAGTGATATGAGGCTCAGCGCTGGCGTGATGCGTTGCTGCCCCTCAGCTGAGCCCTCCACATCCATCTTTATTGTGGGTCGGAACAGAATGGATGTCGGCGGGTGTTTACACTCACCGCTCCATGGAGGAGAATGGAGGTTCTGATCGGGTCCGCCTGCAAAACGGACATCCATGTGAGAGAGGCCTTTCCATCCCAGAGACACACAAACAGGAAGTAAGACAAAATCTCCACAGAGTGATAGGAAATCCCCTTCTTAGACAGGCATTACTGGTACGGGGGTCCCCATGTGAGGATTTCCCCTTATTTCTCATCCAGTGACAACTGTAAAATCTTTGGATTTATACTCTAACCACCTCCAGTCCAGCCTTTGTATATAAATGGCCGGACGGTGGCAGTGCAGGGGCGGGTGGATGTTTATAAATGGCCTCCCAGCCCCCTGCTTGTGCGCCCTCCCTGGGAGAGCACAGCACCGCGATCGGTGCCTGCTGAGTCCTCCGGACACAGTGGAACACCGATCGTTGTACGGGACCTCTGTACGAGGTCCCGATCATGTGATCACTGATTGGCCAATCAGTGATCACATGCACAGTAGTAAGCAAGATGTCACTTCTGACATCATTGCTTACTACGTGTGAAATCTGTGAATGATTACAGAGCTCACATGGTACAGGGCTATTCACAAACGCCTTGTACTATGTGATAGCTGTGACCAATCACAGCTCTCACGGTATTTCTCAATGGCTGCAGGAATGCAGCCAGAGAGTAGGAGAAATAATTGCTTTTACATCCTTTATGGGTAAAAAAAAAAAAAAAAAAATCATCCCCCCCCCCACAAGTAGTACATGTGGGGGGGGGGGGGGGGGTGACACTGTACTGCTAGGGTGACGGTATGTAAAAAAAAAAAAAAAAAAAACGCATAAATAATATAAAAATTAAAAAAAAATGTTTAAAAATTATAATTTTTGGTTATAAACTAATTTGGGTTTTTTTTTTTTTTTTACTAAAAAGATAACGGAATAAATTTTGGCTGAGATTTATAATGAAATATTATTTATTTGCAAAATTGTATAAGAAAAACTTTTTTTCTAAATTTTTGGACTTTTTTTCATTTATATAGCAAAAAAAAAATAATCCCAGCGGGAATAAATACCACCAAAATAAAGTTTTATCTGTCTCAAAAAAATGGTAAACAATTAATCTGGGTACAGTGTTGCATGACCGCGCAATTGTCATTCAAAGTGTGATAGTGCTGAAAGCTGGACTGGACTGCAAGGGGGGGAAAGCGTCCGGACTGCAGGGGGGGGAGGGGGGGGAAAGCGTCCGGACTGCAAGGGGGGGGGGGTCCGGAAAGGGGGGGGGAGTGTCCGGACTGCAAGGGGGGGGAAAGCGTCCGGACTGCAGGGGGGGGGGAACGTACTGGAAGGGGGGAGGGAGTGTCCGGACTGCAAGGGGGGGGGGGGGAAAGCGTCCGGACTGCAAGGGGGGGAAAGCGTCCGGACTGCAAGGGGGGGAAAGCGTCCGGACTGAAGGGGGGGGGGGGGGGGAAAGCGTCCGGACTGCAAGGGGGGGGGGGGAAAGCGTCCGGACTGAAGGGGGGGGGGGGGGGGAAGCGTCCGGACTGGAAGGGGGGGGGGAAAGTCCGTACTGGAAGGGGGGGGGGGGAGTGTCCGTACTGGCGTCCGGGGGGGGGAAGTGTCCGTACTGGAAGGGGGGGGAGTGTCCGGTACGTCCGGGAAGGGGGGGGGGGGGGGGGGAACCGACTGGAAGGGGGGGAAGGTGTCCGTACTGGAAGGGGGGAGGGAGTGTCCGGACTGGAAGGGGGGGGGGGGGGGGGGGGAGGCGTCCGACTGGAAGGGGGGGAAGGTGTCCGTACTGGAAGGGGGGAGGGAGTGTCCGGACTGGAAGGGGGGGGGGGCGTCCGGACTGGAAGGGGGGGGGGGGGAGTGTCCGGACTGGAAGGGGTTAATCCTGCATATATTAGTAGGGCGCTGAATGGATGAGGGTTGTGTGCTCCTCTCTTGCTCAGTATCCTCACGCCGTTGGGAAGAACACCCTCCTGATCGCTGGACTCCAGGCCAGGAATAACGCCCGCGTCGTCTTTAGCGGCTCCCTGGACTTCTTCAGCGATGCGTTCTTCAATTCTGCCGTGCAGAAGGCCGCCCCGGGCTCCACCAGGTATGTGCGTGATGCAGCGGACCCCGCAGAAGCCATATTTGTTTCTGTTGTATCCTCCGGATAGACTTCTCCCGTCATCTCCATCCAGGTATTCCAAGACCGGGAACTACGAGCTGGCCGTGGCCCTCTCCCGCTGGGTGTTCAAGGAGGAGGGAGTGCTGAGAGTCGGCGCTGTGTCCCATCACCGCGTCGGAGAGGCGGAGCCTCCCAGTGCGTACACCATCACCGACCTCGTGGTAAGAGGGAAGATACACCATACAATGTTTCTGGATGTACTCCGCCCTCTTGTACCCTCTGAGAACCTACATTCATCCAATCAGAGTGTTTGGCCTTTTGGCTGTAACAGATCCATTTCCACTGTTTACATGTCTCCTGCTTGTTAGTGGGCAGGCAGCTCTTGCAGGGCCGTGCTGACATTCTGAGCAATACAAATACATCCCTCTTTCTTCTTCTTTCTTCTTCTTTCTTCCTTCTTCTTTTTCTTCTTCTTTCTTTTTTTTTTTTTTGCACTAACATCCAAATTTTCAGGACAAGCTATCGGGCTTCCCCACCCCCACACCTTCTTCAAGGTCCCAGCAGTACTGAAAATTTGGATGTTCGTGCAAAGAAAAAAAAAAAAAAAAAGTATAGCGGACAGGACTCAATGACTGTGATGGCTCCAGATCCTCCATCTGATCTCCCATCCCATGTCCTTTCCTCCTCCTGCAGGAATACAGCATCGTGATCGAGAAACTCTCCGACGGTAAATGGGTTCCCTTCGATGGAGATGACATCCAGTTGGAGTTTGTCCGTATTGACCCTTTTGTGCGAACCTTCCTGAAGAAGAACGGTGAGTTGTCCCCGTCCCTCTGGACAACTCTGATGATTCAGGGGTGGGGTCAGCTGTGAAAAAGGAGTTCTGATTGGTGGCTGCGGGAGGAGGGGGTCAGCTATGGAAGAGGAATCCTGATTGGTGGCTGCAGGAGGAGAGGTCGAGGAGGGGTCAGCTATGAAAGAAGAATCCTGATTGGTGGCTGCGGGAGGAGGGGGTCAGCTATGAAAGAAGAATCCTGATTGGTGGCTGCGGGAGGAGGGGTCAACTTTGAAAGCAGAATCCTGATTGGTGGCTGTGGGAGGAGGGGGTCAGCTACGGAAGAGGAATCCTGATTGATGGCTGCGGGAGGAGGGGGTCAGCTATGAAAGGAATCCTGATTGGTGGCTGCGAGGAGGAGGGGGTGCTATGGAAGAGGAATCCTGATTGGTGGCTGTGGGAGGAGGGATCGGCTATGGAAGAGGAATCCTGATTGGTGGCTGTGGGAGGAGGGATCGGCTATGGAAGAGGAATCCTGATTGGTGGCTGTGGGAGGAGGGGTCAGCTATGAAAGAGGAATCCTGATTGGTGGCTGTGGGGAGGAGGGGTCAGCTATGATTGGTGGCTGCGGGAGGAGGGGTCAGCTATGATTGGTGGCTGCGGGAGGAGGGGTCAGCTATGAAAGAGGAATCCTGATTGGTGGCTGTGGGAGGAGGGGGTCAGCTATGAAGAGGAATCCTGATTGGTGGCTGTGGGAGGAGGGGTCAGCTATAAAAGGAATGGTGGCTGTGGGGGAGGGGGTCAGCTATGAAAGGAATCCTGATTGGTGGCTGTGGGAGGAGGGGTCAGCTATGATTGATTGGTGGCTGTGGGAGGGGGGTCAGCTATGGAAGAGGAATCCTGATTGGTGGGTGGGGAGGAGAGGAGGGGTCAGCTATGAAAGAGGAATCCTGATTGGTGGCTGTGGGAGGAGGGGTGATTGGTGGCTGCTAGGAGGGGAAAGGAATCCTGATTGGTGGCTGTGGGAGGAGGGGTCAGCTATGAAAGGAATCCTGATTGGTGGCTGCGGGAGGAGGGGGTCAGCTATGATTGGTGGCTGCGGGAGGAGGGTCAGCTATGGAAGAGGAATCCTGATTGGTGGCTGTGGGAGGAGGGGGTCAGCTATGGAAGAGGAATCCTGATTGGTGGCTGTGGAGGAGGGGGTCAGCTATGGAAGAGGAATCCTGATTGGTGGCTGTGGGAGGAGGGGTCAGCTATGAAAGGAATCCTGATTGGTGGCTGCGGGAGGAGGGGTCAGCTATGATTGGTGGCTGCGGGAGGAGGGTCAGCTATGGAAGAGGAATCCTGATTGGTGGCTGCGGGAGAAGGGGTGGAGGTGGGGTCACCTATGAATCCTGATTGGTGGCTGCGGGAGAAGGTGGAGGCGGGGTCACCTACGAATCCTGATTGGTGGAGGCGGGGTCACCTACGAATGCTGATTGGTGCCTGAGGGATACTCATCATGTGACTTGTCCTTTTGCCTCCTATAGGTGGGAAATACAGCGTCCAGTTCCGACTTCCCGATGTGTACGGAGTGTTCCAGTTCAAGGTGGATTATAACCGTCTGGGATATACTCACCTCTACTCCACCACACAGGTATGGCTGAGGGCAGCCGCTGCTCCTCCACTGGGGGGGCCTCAGATCTGGGGGAAAGGGAACCCACTTCTGCCCAGAGGAGCCATGTTCATGTCCTGATGTCTTCAGCTTCACTAGTCACGTTCATCATACTAATGTTGCTGTTTCTTTAAATCCTCTTGATCTGCTTGCATTGCCTAGAGAAGCACAGAGACCCAGTGATTGTCATTGAGTCTATTATAATGTGTATGGGGGGAGGGGGAATCGAGGGAAGTAAAATATGAGAATAAACTTCAGCTTTAAGCCTGTCCAGCCCCGGGGGCCCCAAATCCTGGCTCTGCTCTCGCATGCTCTTATTGGCCGGTAGAGCTGCCTGTCATGAGGAACGGCCAATAGGAACACGTGTGTGGAGGTGGACAGGCTGTTTGTATATTGCCATGTCTCAGGATTGGAGATGATGTAGGTGTGCGCAGGCTCGGTATGGCCAATCACAGCCGGCGGTCCCTCCCTGAGTTGTGTTTTCCCTCTTGCAGGTGTCTGTCCGTCCTCTTCAGCACACCCAATACGAGCGCTTCATCCCCTCCGCCTTCCCGTATTACGCCAGCGCCTTCTCCATGATGTTCGGCCTCTTCATCTTCAGCCTGGTCTTCCTCCACATGAAGGAGAAGGAGAAATCCGACTGAGGAGCCGTCCGTTCTGTGCAACTCGGAGCTGGGCCAGCACCGGCCTGTCCATGGGAGCAGCGGCAGGAGCCGGGGGACTCTCATTGGTTCCTATTCCAAACTGAAGACACTGTAATAACTTCCCGGAGGGGGTGGACAGGAAGTGGGGGGGGGGGGGGAGAGAAACATCAGCACAGTAAGCGGTGATCCGGCCTCATCCTCTCCAGTGCGTCTGTTTTTTGTATTTTTGGTTGTATTATTTTTGGGTTTTTTTCCTTATTTTTGGTTATTTGAGACTTTTACTTGATAATTGGCACACGATTGATTGATTTGAGCGTTTTCAGAAAAAATAAAGTGACCCCCCCTCCCCCCCCCCCCCCCACTAGTCTCTGTGCCTGGATTTGTTACGGAAGAATGCTGCACTCCACCCTTTTATGATGAAAGGGGAACTCTTTGATATTTGGGTGGAGTGTGGAAGGACTAGAGCCTCTCCCGGGTGTTTTATTACAGTCTGTGTCCCCCTGGGGGGGATTCACCCTCTCCATGGTGACACAGGAAGTGATGGGATACAAAATGTTGTCACCAGAACAGGAATAGAGGAGAAACTTGCCAACGGTGACAACTCTTTACCTTCAGCTGTTAGTGATTGCCTCCCACTTCCTGTTGCATCTTTGAAGAGAAATCTCCCCAGCAGGGCACAGAGAACCTGGGAACAAACATTGGCTACACCATGAAGAACCCTTTTTAAGGGCAGTGTTTGCAGGGGGTGTTCTAGGTGTGGGAAGTGTTTGGGGGGACATTCCGGGTGTGGGAAGTGTTCGGAGGGGACGTTCTGGGCGTGGGAGGTGTACGGAGATCACGTCCCAGATGTGGAAGGGGACGTTCTGGGTGTGGGAGGTGTACGGAGATCACGTCCCAGATGTGGAAGGGGACGCTCTGGGTGTGGGAGGTGTACGGAGATCACGTCCCAGATGTGGAAGGGGACGCTCTGGGTGTGGGAGGTGTACGGAGATCACGTCCCAGATGTGGAAGGGGACGTTCTGGGTGTGGGAGGTGTACGGAGATCACGTCCCAGATGTGGAAGGGGACGTTCTGGGTGTGGGAGGTGTACGGAGATCACGTCCCAGATGTGGAAGGGGACGTTCTGGGTGTGGGAGGTGTACGGAGATCACGTCCCAGATGTGGAAGGGGACGCTCTGGGTGTGGGAGGTGTACGGAGATCACGTCCCAGATGTGGAAGGGGACGCTCTGGGTGTGGGAGGTGTACGGAGATCACGTCCCAGATGTGGAAGGGGATGTTCTGGGTGTGGGAGGTGTACGGAGATCACGTCCCAGATGTGGAAGGGGACGCTCTGGGTGTGGGAGGTGTATAAAGAAGACGTTCCAGGTGCAGGCAGTGTTTGGAAGGGATGTTCTCAGTGTGGGAAGTGTTGGGGGGGGGGGGGGGGGGGGTAACATTCCAGGTGTGGGAAGTGTTTGGAGGGGACGTTCTGGGCGTGGGAGGTGTATAAAGAAGATGTTCCAGGTGGAGGAGGGGACGTCCCCGGGCGCGGGCAGTGTTTGGAGGGGACGTCCCTGGCGCGGGCAGTGTTTTGGACGTCCCGGGCGCGGGGACGTCCCGGGCGCGGGCAGTGTTTGGAGGGGACGTCCCAGTGTTTGGAGGGGGCGCGGGCAGTGGTTTGGAGGGGACGTTCCGGGCACGAGACGGGTTCGCAGGGGATGTTCCAGGTTCTCCCTCTTAGTCCTGGTGACACGAGAAGTGATGAGTTACAAAATGTTAGTTGTCACCAGAACAGGAATTGAGGGGAAACCTACCAATGGTGACAACTGTCTCTTCCATTTCTGGTGATTGCCTCTCCCTTCCTGTTGCATCTTTGGACCAGCAAATGAAGAGAAATCTCCCCAGCAGGGCACAGAGCGCTTATTAAAAAGAAATAATTGGCTACACCATGTGTAACCCCCCCCAGCCCCCCCCCCCCCCCCCCCCCCCCCCCCCCCCCCCCCCCCCCCCCGTTTTGAGGCAGACCTTCCACCTCTGGCAAGTAAAGGTACCTGTGTGGGCGGGGCCAGTTGGTAATACACGTCTCTTTCCCCGCCTTCCTTAGTGCCGGGGGGGGGGGGGGGTGACATCATGCTGACAAGATCCCCCGGAATGCCGATCCCATGAGAAGATGTGGCAACACAATGCAGGAGATTTGGGCGACTCAGCATTCCCTGATGAGGTCCCCCGTGCCTAGGCACAGAACCCATAGGCTCTTTTATGCAGTGTTTCGGGGGAGGGGGACTTGTCAATGTCACTGAGGGGGGAGGTGCACTCCAGGGACATCCATGTGGCTCTGCTGATGTTCTGGATGGGCCCCTGTGGTGAAGGCGGCTTATAAACCGAAAGATGAGATCCGATTGAACTATAACTGATTATCATCTGCTGGCCATCACATGATGGTCTTCTGAGAAACTGCAGCATGCTCCTAGTGAAAGAACTCTCATCAAATAGTGGCAGGGCTGCTTTTGTCCGATTTTACTCACTTCCTGCCCCTGTGACACCTGGCAGATTAGGTATCTGGAAGGGGAGGGCCTAGTGGAGGAGGTATTTACAAGGATAGCATCTCGTGGATGAGGTATCTGGGGGAGGAAGGGCCTGGCGGTGGAGGTATCTGGGGGAAGAGGGGACGTTCCGGGTGCTGGAAGGGTTCGCAGGGGACGTTCCGGGTGCTGGAAGGGTTCGCAGGGGACGTTCCGGGTGCTGGAAGGGTTCGCAGGGGACGTTCCGGGTGCTGGAAGGGTTCGCAGGGGACGTTCCGGGTGCTGGAAGGGTTCGCAGGGGACGTTCCGGGTGCTGAAAGGGTTCGCAGGGGACGTTCCGGGTGCTGAAAGGGTTCGCAGGGGACGTTCCGGGTGTGTGGGAAGTATTCGGCGGGGACGGTGCGGAAAGTGTTCAGAGGGGACATTCCGGATGTGGGAAGTGTTTGGAGGGGTACGGTGTGGAAAGTGTTCGGAGTGGACATTCTGGGTGCGGGAAGCGTTCAGAGGGGGTGGTCCGGGTGTGGGAAATGTTCGGAGGGGAAATTCTGGGTGCGGGAAGTGTTTGGAGGGGATGGAATGGGAAGTGTTCAGAGGGGGTGGTCCGGGTGTGGGAAGTATTTGGCGGGGACGGTGCGGAAAGTGTTCGGAGGGGAAATTCTGGGTGCGGGAAGTATTCGGTCGGGATGGTGTGGGAAGTGTTCAGAGGGGGTGGTCCGGGTGCGGGAAGTGTTCGGAGGGGATGTTCCGGGTGCGGGAAATGTTCGGAGGTGTTGGGGTGAGTGCACAGGGGCCCCTTCTGTTGCTAGGTGGGGTCCCCTCTGTCCCGCCCCCCAGTCTTCCTTCATACTCACTAACACCCTTCACTGACGTCACGTGAAGAAACATTTCGGGTCACGTGATCAGGAGCCCCGAGCAGCTTGTTCTAGGGGGCGGAGCTCGGTCCCTCCCGAGGGCGGAGCGCACAGCGATGCAGGCCGCGGAGGATCCTGGGATCTCCCGGGGTGTGAGGGGATCACTGGGCGGGGCCCCAGAGGGGCACGTGACCCAGGGAAGCGGCGCGTGCGCAGTGGCCGCCCGGTGTGAGGAGAGACGGGCCGGAGCAGCCATGTTGATCACGGTGTACTGTGTCCGGCGGGACCTGAGCGAGGTGACCTTCTCCCTGGAGGTGGACCCGGACTTCGAGCTGGAGAACTTCCGGGCCCTGTGCGAGCTGGAGAGCGGGATACCCTCCGACCAGGCCCTGGTGAGGAGTCCGGGGATAGACCCGACTGAGGGCCCCGAGGGGGGAGGGGACTGAGGATAGACCTGGAGGGGGGGGGGAGACTGGGGATAGCCCTGGAAGGGGGGGGGAGTCTGGGGATAGACCTGATTGGGGGGAGGAGGGGAGTTTGGAGATAGACCTGATTGGGGGAGTGGTGGGGGAGGGGAGTCTGGGGATAGACCTGATTGGGGGAGGGGAGTCTGGGGATAGCCCTGGAGGGGGAGGGGAGTCTGGGGATAGCCCTGGGGATAGACCTGATTGGGGGGAGGAGGGGAGTCTGGGGATAGACCTGATTGGGGGAGGGGGGAGGAGGGGAGTCTGGGGATAGACCTGATTGGGGGGGGAGGGGAGTCTGGGGATAGACCTGATTGGGGGAGGGGAGTCTGGGGATAGACCTGATGGGGGGGAGGGGAGTCTGGGGATAGACCTGATTGGGGGGGAGGGGAGTCTGGGGATAGACCTGATTGGGGGGGAGGGGAGTCTGGGGATAGACCTGATTGGGGGGAGGGGAGTCTGGGGATAGACCTGATTGGGGGGGAGGGGAGTCTGGGGATAGACCTGATTGGGGGGGAGGGGAGTCTGGGGATAGACCTGATTGGGGGGGAGGGGAGTCTGGGGATAGACCTGATTGGGGGGGAGGGGAGTCTGGGGATAGACCTGATTGGGGGGGAGGGGAGTCTGGGGATAGACCTGATTGGGGGAGGGGAGTCTGGGGATAGACCTGATTGGGGGGGAGGGGAGTCTGGGGATAGACCTGATTGGGGGGGAGGGGAGTCTGGGGATAGACCTGATTGGGGGGAGGGGAGTCTGGGGATAGACCTGATTGGGGGGGAGGGGAGTCTGGGGATAGACCTGATTGGGGGAGGGGGAGACTGGGGATAGACCTGATTGGGGGGGAGGGGGAGTCTGGGGATAGACCTGATTGGGGGGGAGGGGAGTCTGGGGATAGTCCTGGAAGGGGGGGGCAGGAGATAGCCCTGGAGGGGGGGGGAGTCGGGGGGTGGTGTTACATCAGGTATCTCTCTTTCTAGGTAAGTCTGAGGTTGGGGATCCCTCTCGGGGGATGGGGGGGGGGTATCTGACATTCGGGGTGACTCCCATTCATGGTCCAGTCTGCCTGGAGGACCCCGACACCCCGATCCCATATTCCGGTCAGTATTACTCTGTGTATCTGCTGCTTTCATTGTCACCCTGGTGATCCCGCCATGGAGGACCTTGTTCAGGCACTTCCTGTTAGAGGGTGACAACGCTGTGTCCCTGACTCCCAATGTGGCTCCTGCGTTGTCACTTTGTCTCATGGCTTTGAATGGAGACTACAAGTGGAGGTTCCAGCACACAGACCGGGTCCCGGGAGGACTCCTCTGGGTGTGACTTCATCCTGTATTTCCTGCAGAGCCGGTTCTCCTCGTACAAGGAGCAATCACATGACCCTGCTCAGGAATCCTCATCGGGGGCGGATGTCCGGAGTCATACCGATCGGGAGATTCGTTGTTGGGAGTTACCGAGTCTCCGAGTTGGAGAGAACACTGATGGGAGGGGTCTTGTAGTTGGGGAGTCTCGTAGTTGGAGAGAACACTGATGGGAGGGGTCTTGTAGTTGAGGAAGACACTGATGGGGGGGGGGTGGTCTCATAGTTGGGGAGGACAATGATGGGGGGGGGGTCTCGTAGTTGGAGGGGACACTGATGGGGAGAGTCTCGTAGTTGGGGAGGACACTGATGGGGAGGGTCTCGTAGTTGGGGAGGACACTGATGGGGGGGGGGGGTCTTGTAGTTGGAGAGGACATTGGGGGGGGTCTCGTAGTTGGAGAGGACACTGATGGGGAGAGTCTCGTAGTTGGGGAGGACACTGGGGAGGGTCTCGTAGTTGGATAGACACTGATGGGGAGGGTCTCGTAGTTGGATAGGACACTGATGGGGAGGGTCTCGTAGTTGGGGAGGACACTGAGGGGAGGAGTCTTGTAGTTGGGGAGTCTCGTAGTTGGAGGGGACACAGAGGGGAGGGTCTCGTAGTTGGATAGGACACTGATGGGGGGGGTCTCGTAGTTGAGGATGATACTGATGGGGGGGTTCTTGTAGTTGGAGAGGACACTGATGGGGGAGCTCGTAGTTGGAGAGAGAACACTGATGGGGGGGGTCTTGTAGTTGGGGAGGACAATGATGGGGGGGGGGGTCTCGTAGTTGGAGGGGACACTGATGGGGAGGTCTCGTAGTTGGGGGAGGACACTGGGAGGGGGGGGGTCTCGTAGTTTGGGGAGGACACTGATGGGGGGGGGGGTCTCGTAGTTGGGGAGGACACTGATGGGGGGGGTCTGTAGTTGGAGAGGACATTGATGGGGGGGGTCTCGTAGTTGGAGAGGACATTGATGGGGGGGGGGTCTCGTAGTTGGAGAGGACATTGATGGGGGGGGTCTCGTAGTTGGGGAGGACACTGGGGGGGGTCTCGTAGTTGGAGAGGACACTGATGGGGGGGGTCTCGTAGTTGGAGAGGACACTGATGGGGGGGGGGGGGGGGTCTCGTAGTTGGGGGAGGACACTGATGGGGAGGGTCTCGTAGTTGGGGAGGACACTGATGGGGGAGTCTTGTAGTTGGGGAGGGTCTCGTAGTTGGAGAGGACACTGATGGGGAGAGTCTCGTAGTTGGGGAGGACACTGATGGGGGGGGGGTCTCGTAGTTGGATAGGACACTGATGGGGGGGGTCTCGTAGTTGGAGAGGACATGATGGGGGAGAATCTCATAGTTGGAGAGGACACTGATGGGGGGCTCTTGTAGTTGGGGAGGACACTGATGGGGGAGAGTCTCGTAGTTGGGGAGGACACACTGATGGGGGGGGTCTCGTAGTTGGGGGGGACACTGATGGGGAGAATCTCGTAGTTGGAGAGGACACTGATGGGGGCTCTTGTAGTTGGGGAGGACACTGATGGGGAGGTCTCGTAGTTGGGGAGGACACTGATGGGGGGGGGTCTCGTAGTTGGGGAGGACACTGATGGGGGGGGTCTCGTAGTTGGGGAGGACACTGATGGGGAGAGTCTCGTAGTTGGAGAGCGTCTCGTAGTAGGAGAGGACACTGATGGGGGGGGGGGGGGGGGGTCTTGTAGTTGGAGAAGACACTTATGGGGAGGGTCTCGTAGTTGGGGAGGACACTGAGGGGGGGTCTCGTAGTTGGATAGGACACTGATGGGGGGGGGTCTCGTAGTTGAGGAAGACACTGATGGGGGGGTGGGGGGGGTTTCTTGTAGTTGGAGAGGACACTGATGGGGGGGCTCGTAGTTGGAAGAGGACACTGATGGGGGGGGGGGGTCTCATAGTTGGAGAGAACACTGATGGGGGGGGGGGGGGTCTCGTAGTTGGGGGGACACTGATGATGTAGGAGGGTCTCGTAGTTGGGGGAGGACACTGATGGGGGGGTCTCGTAGTTGGGGAGGACACTGATGGGGGGGGTCTCGTAGTTGGAGGGGACACTGGGGGGGGGGTCTCGTAGTTGGGGAGGACACTGATGGGGAGGGTCTCGTAGTTGGGGAGGACACTGATGGGGGGGGTCTCGTAGTTGGAGAGGACACTGGGGGGGGGGTCTCGTAGTTTGGAAGGACACTGATGGGGGGGGTCTCGTAGTTGGGGAGGACACTGATGGGGGGGGGGGCTTGTAGTTGGAGAGGACATTGATGGGGGGGTCTCGTAGTTGGAGAGGACACTGGGGGGGGGGGGTCTCGTAGTTTGGGAGGACACTGATGGGGAGGGTCTCGTAGTTGGGGAGGACACTGATGGAGGAGTCTTGTAGTTGGGGAGAGTCTCGTAGTTGGGAGGAGGACACTGATGGGGGGAGGGTCTCGTAGTTGGAGAGGACACTGATGGGGGGGGGGGGTCTCGTAGTTGGGGAGGACACTGATGGGGAGGGTCTCGTAGTTGGAGAGGACACTGATGGGGGAGTCTCGTAGTTGGAGAGGACACTGATGGGGAGGGTCACGTAGTTGGAGAGGACACTGATGGGGAGAGTCTCGTAGTTGATGGGAGGACAATGATGGGGGGAGGGGGGGTCTCGTAGTTGGGGAGGACACTGATGGGGGGGGGTCTCGTAGTTGGAGAGGACACTGATGGGGGGGGGGGGGGTCTCGTAGTTGGAGAGGACACTGATGGGGAGGTCTCGTAGTTGGAGAGGACACTGATGGGGGGGGGGGGGTCTCGTAGTTGGAGAGGACACTGATGGGGGGGGTCTCGTAGTTGGACACTGATGGAGGACACTGATGGGGGGGGGTCTCGTAGTTGGAGAGGACACTGATGGGGGGGTCTCGTAGTTGGAGGGGACGTAGTTGGGAGAGGGGGGGGGGTCCTTGTAGTTGGGGAGGACACTGATGGGGAGGGTCTCGTAGTTGGGGATGGGGGGGGACACTGATGGGGAGGGTCTCGTAGTTGGGGAGGACACTGATGGAGAGAGTGGAGGCCAGGGGTTAGGTCGAGTAGTCTGGGGGGGGGTGGGAATTTTGGAGGGGGGGTTAGATCAGGGAGTCTGACAGCCAGGGTTATGTTGGGGAGCTGGAGGAGGGAGAAGGTTGGGGAATTTGGGGGGGGCTGGGGGGTTAGTCAGGAGTCTTGACAGCCAGTGGAGGATCCTGGGGGCGGGGGAGGAGCGGTGGAGGATCCCGGAGAGGTGGGAGCGGTGGAGGATCCTGGGGGGGGGTGGAGGATCCTGGGTGGAGGATGGGGGGGGGGGCAGTGGAGGAGGCGGAGGGTGGAGGGGGGGGGGGGAGCAGTGAGGAGCTTGGGAGCGGTGAGGATTCCTGGGGGGAGGAGGCGGAGCGGTGGAGGGGGGGGAGCGGTGCAGGATCCTGGGGGCAGAGCGGTGGAGGGATCCTGGGGGCAGGGGGGGATCCTGGGGGTGGGGGAGGGGGGTGGAGGAGGGGAGCGGTGGAGGATCCTGGGGGCGGGGGGAGCGGTGGAGGATCCTGGGGGCAGGGGGGGGGAGCGGTGGAGGATCCTCGGGGGGGGGAGCGGTGGAGGATCCTGGGGGAGGGGGGGGGGGAGCGGTGGGAGGAGGATCCTGGGGGAGGGGGGGGGGGAGCGGTGGAGGATCCTGGGGGCAGGGGGGGGGAGCGGTGGAGGAGCCTGGGGGTGGGGGGGGGGAGGATCCTGGGGGCGGGTGGGGAGGGGGGGGAGCGGTGGAGGATCCTGGGGGGGCGGGGGGGGAGCGGTGCAGGATCCTGGGGGCAGGGGGGGGGGGAGCGGTGGAGGATCCTGGAGGGGGCAGGGGGGGGGGAGCGGTGGAGGATCCTGGGGGAGAGGGTGGAGGATCCTGGGGGAGCGGTGGAGGATCCTGGGGGCAGGGAGGTGGGGGAGCTTGGCGGTTGAGGATCCTGGGGGCAGGGGGGGAGAGCGGTGGAGGATCCTGGGGGGCGGGGGGGGAGGGTGAAGATCCTGGGGGGGGGAGCGGTGGAGGATCCTGGGGGGGGGGGGGAGGAGGTGGAGGATCCTGGGGGCGGGGGGGGGAGCGGTGGAGGATCCTGGGGGCAGGGGGGGGGGGGGAGCGGTGGAGGATCCTGGGGGCGGGGGGGGGGGGAGCGGTGGAGGATCCTGGGGGCAGGGGGGGGGGGAGCGGTGGAGGATCCTGGGGGGGAGGGGGGGGGAGCGGTGGAGGATCCTGGGGGAGGGTGGGGGGGGGAGCGGTGGAGGATCCTGGGGGCAGGGGGGGGAGCGGTGGAGGATCCTGGGGGCGGGTGGGGAGGGGAGCAGTGGAGGAGGCCGGGGGGCTGGGGGGGGGGGGAGCGGTGGAGGATCCTGGGGGGGGGGGGGGGGGGGGAGCGGTGGAGGATCCTGGGGGCAGGGGGGGGGGGGGGGGGGAGCGGTGGAGGATCCTGGGGGCGGTGGGGGGGGGGGGAGCGGTGGAGGATCCTGGGGGGATCCTGGGGGGGGGGGGGAGCGGTGGAGGGGGGGGGGAGCGGTGGAGGATCCTGGGGGCGGGGGGGAGCGGTAGAGGATCCTGGGGAGGGAGGGGGGGGGTCACTGGTCTGGCGGGCGGGTTGACGTGCCGTACTCAGCCATGTGGTCGGGGAATAGTCAGCGGGATTATGGGATTATCCTGGCAGCATATGGCCGGAGTTGTCACCTCCGTATGATGATGTCATGGCTCGGAGGGATGGGATTCGGTGGGGGGAGGGGACTGAATCCACTGATGTATATATATTAGATGAGATCCCGACATTCACACTCTGTTCTTCGTCCTCCAGGGCTGAGCACTGCTGAGCAGCACAAATCGAATTGGTTGGTTGTCGCTGTGAGTGCTGAAGGAATATAGAACTCCAATCTGGAGCCGCTTCCTTCTCTATATAAATGGGGGGGGGGGATGGGGGGGCGCAGAGGGTTCACATTGGTCCTTGTGTGTGGAGGGGAGTCGGGGGATGGGGAGGACTCTGTGTGGAGGCTGCTGTGATTGGTCAGATTACTCTCACCTAACCCTCCAGACAGATGAAATGTGGTCATCAGATGTGATTCATCATCCCCTCCCCCTCCTGCCCCCCATAGATCATCTATGCAGAGAGACCCCTGACGGACAATCAGCGCTCGCTGTCCTCATACGGGCTGAAAGACGGCGATGTGGTGATCTTGAGGCAGAAGGATCCATCGGAGGCGCGGCCTGCAAACCCATTACCAGGTATGAGAACATATTTCCCGGGAGGGGGGGACAGGGAAACCACAAACACCGTCACGTCTGGAATCCTCCCAGAGAATTTCCCAGCATCGGCTTCTCTTCCAGACACTTCATGTAATATTCACAGCCCATAATATGTACTTCCCTGAACTGCACACGGAGCGGGGGATGGGGGTTTGTTCAGCAACTGGCATGTCACCAGTTCCTCCAGACATGCTCACCAGTTCCTCCATACATGTTCACCAGTTCCTCCATACATGTTCACCAGTTCCTCCAGACATGCTCACCAGTTCCTCCATACATGTTCACCAGTTCCTCCATACATGTTCACCAGTTCCTCCAGACATGTTCACCAGTTCCTCCAAACATGCTCACCAGTTCCTCCATGCATGCTCACCAGTTCCTCCAGACATGTTCACCAGTTCCTCCAGACATGTTCACCAGTTCCTCCATACATGTTCACCAGTTCCTCCAGACATGTTCACCAGTTCCTCCAGACATGCTCACCAGTTCCTCCAGACATGTTCACCAGTTCCTACATGCTCACCAGTTCCTCCAGACATGCTCACCAGTTCCTCCAGACGTGTTCACCAGTTCCTCCATACGTGTTCACCAGTTCCTCCAGACATGTTCACCAGTTCCTCCAGACATGCTCACCAGTTCCTCCAGACATGCTCACCAGTTCCTCCAGACATGCTCACCAGTTCCTCCAGACATGCTCACCAGTTCCTCCAGACATGCTCACCAGTTCCTCCAGACATGTTCACCAGTTCCTCCAGACATGTTCACCAGTTCCTCCATACGTGTTCACCAGTTCATACATGTTCACCAGTTCCTCCATACGTGTTCACCACTTCCTCCATTCCTCCATACATGTTCACCGGTTCCTCCATTCCTCCATACATGTTCACCAGTTCCTCCATTCCTCCATACGTGTTCACCACTTCCTCCATTCCTCCATACATGTTCACCGGTTCCTCCATACATGTTCACCAGTTCCTCCATTCCTCCATGCATGTTCACCGGTTCCTCCATACATGTTCACCAGTTCCTCCATTCCTCCATACATGTTCACCAGTTCCTCCATTCCTCCATACATGTTCACCAGTTCCTCCATACGTGTTCACCAGTTTCCTCCATTCTCCATACATGTTCACCACTTCCTTCATACATGTTCACTAGTTCCTCCATTCCTCCATTCATGTTCACCGGTTCCTCCATACATGTTCACCAGTTCCTCCATTCCTCCATACATGTTCACCAGTTCCTCCATTCCTCCATGCATGTTCACCGGTTCCTCCATACATGTTCACCAGTTCCTCCATTCCTCCATACATGTTCACCACTTCCTTCATACATGTTCACCAGTTCCTCCATACGTGTTCACTTCTCCATACATGTTCACCAGTTCCTCCATACGTGTTCACCAGTTCCTCCATTCCTCCATTCATGTTCACCACTTCCTCCATACATGTTCACCAGTTCCTCCATTCCTCCATTCATGTTCACCACTTCCTCCATACATGTTCACCAGTTCCTCCATTCATGTTCACCAGTTCCTCCATTCATGTTCACCAGTTCCTCCATTCATGTTCACCACTTCCTCCATACATGTTCACCAGTTCCTTGTCATGTTACTCATGTTGTTTTTCCACAGTAGGACTGCCCAGGATTGATTTCAGCAGTATCGCTGTTCCCGGGACCTCCAGCCAACAACCCCCGCCTGCCCCTCAGCCCCCTCGGCCCCCCGCTCCAGATTCAACAACCTTTCCTCAGGGGCTGGACAACCCGGCTCTGCTGCGAGAAATGCTGCTGGCAAATCCCCATGAACTGTCCCTGCTGAAAGAACGGAACCCACCCCTGGCGGAGGCACTGCTGAGCGGGGATTTGGGTGAGTCGGACTCCCGTGTTCTGGTACGGTGCGGGGGGAGGGGTTGTATGACGTGTGTTTATACCATGTGTGTCTTCCGCAGAAAGATTCACAAGAGTCCTCCTGGAGCAACAACAAGAGCGAGCCCGCAGGGAGCAGGAGCGGATACGGCTCCTCTCTGCCGATCCCTTCGACTTGGAAGCCCAAGCCAAGATAGAGGAAGACATAAGGTGACGGAACCGACATTTCCTGTGTGCTGGTCCAGTGCCGGGTGCAGCCGGGAAACCGGCTCTCCTAGTCTGCTTGGATTCACAGGCAGGAGAAGAGGCGCCTCTGTCCAACGCCTACTGGGCCGAGCGGCTCGTCTGCCAAAGACCTCCAGGCGCTGATTGGGCGAGGCGAGCGCCGCATGTGGACGTCAGAAGAATGCCGCAGTTCTGGTCGTTGTCGTAGGTGACCTCCTCTGACACCTCCAGTTGCCTGGTGACTGTGTTGCTCTATGGCACGGGTGTCACTGGTGGCCCTTCAGCTGTTGCCAAACTACAAATCCCATGAGGCATTGCAAGATTGACAGTTCCAAGGATGACTCCCAAAGGCAGGGCATGATGGGACTTGTAGTTTCACAACCCCTGACCTATGGGAACCTCTGACCCCCTTTGTCATTCGTCTCTGAGATTATCTTGGTAAGGGTAACTAACTGCATTCGGCATCACGGCTGCTCTCTGGTGGCTTTGACTACACCCAGTCCTGCGGCATTCTCTGACACTTCTCGTGTTCTCGTGTCCTTCGTGTCCTTCACGTGTCTGCTTTTCTTCTCGTATACATTTGCTGCATTATAATATCTTCAACCGTTTCCTGACCTCCCTATAGGCGAAGTACTGCTACGGGGTGGCAGGGCTGCGGACAATCACGTGTATATATACATCATTTTGTATTACCGGGTAGGGGGTGTGTGCACGCTCCCTACCTGCGCCACTATTGGCTCCTCGGTATGTCAGTCACTTCTTGGCCGGGACTCCGTGATCATCAGCAAGGCTGACAGAGGAGAGGTCTGTATGTAAACAACACAGGTCACCCTCCTGCCAGCAAGGACATGCTGCTTTGTATCTCTCTGCACAGCATGTCTTCCGAGTAACACAGCGCACAGTTAACCCTTTGATTACCCCACATGCCCAGTGCCATTAGTACAGTGTCAGGGCTTTTTATTAGCACTGATGACTGTATTGGTGTCACTGGGGATGTCAGTGGCAGTTAGCCCCCTCCCAGTGTCAGAATGCCCAGGCGGGTTGAGGTGCTGCTATAAAATAAAATATCCCAGTATCCATACCACCATTTGTAGGCGCTATAATGTTCATGTAATCCAATTAATTTACACGTATCGGGATGTTTTATTAGCAAAGACACGGAGCGGGAGACATTTTGGGCTAAATTGTATGACACTTGTGGGTGAAACTGATGGGCACTTGTGGGTGAAACTGATGGGCACTTTGGGTGGGTGGCACATTTGTGGGTGGCACAGGTGGGCACTTGTGGGTGGCACAGGTGGGTGACACTGGGGGCACTTGTGGGTGACACTGGGCACTTGTGGGTGACACTGGTGGGCACTTGTGGGTGGCACTGGTGGGCACTTGTGGGTGGCACAGGTGGGCACTTGTGGTGGGTGGCACAGGTGGGCACTTGTGTGGGTGGCACTGGGCGGCACTTGTGGTGGGTAGGCACTGGGGGCACTTGTGGTGGGTGGCACTGGGCGGCACTTGTGGTGGGTGACACTGGTGGGCACTTGTGTGGGTGGCACTGGTGGGCACTTGTGGTGGGTGGCACTGGGTGGGCACTTGTGGTGGGTGGCACTGGGGGCACTTGTGGTGGGTGGCACTGGTGGGCACTTGTGGTGGGTGGCACTGGGCGGCACTTGTGGCGGGTGGCACTGGGGGGCACTTGTGGTGGGTGGCACTGGTGGGCACTTGTGGTGGGTGGCACTGGTGGGGCACTTGTGGTGGGTGGCACTGGGGGCACTTGTGGTGGGTGGCACTGGGCGGCACTTGTGGTGGGTGGCACTGGGGCGGCACTTGTGGTGGGTGGCACTGGGCGGCACTGTGGTGGGTGGCACTGGTGGGCACTTGTGGTGGGTGGCACTGGGCGGCACTTGTGGTGGGTGGCACTGGTGGGCACTGAATCAATGCCCTGATGATCGGTGCCGATCCATTCTCTGACAATTGCCCTTTATCGGCAGTACGTTCCTCATGCTGTGACAGGGCGAGGAAAGTGCAGCCGATAAACTGCGTTTGCCCGGTGATGTGCTGTGTCATTGGACACAGGTGATCACATGGTAAAAGGCCGCTGTGATTGGCCTTTTACCACATCACGTGATCAGCGGTGTCCGTAGGTCACAGCAATCACGAAGATCGCCGGGGGAGCATGGGAGGGCGCGTTCTGGGAGGACGTCATGACGCCCTCCCAGAACTGGCCAACCATGCTGCAGCTGTCATTGGGGTATAGCGCGGTTGCGAGGTGATGTCATCATGTACTGTTATACATCGAGACCTCAAGCAGCACGCAGTCACCGCTGCCGGGGCTTCCATCTTCACCGGGGTTCACAGGCTCTGGCCATCTGAATGGCTAAGCCATGATGACGTCACACCCACACATGCCCTTCACAAAGCAGTACACCGGTGACATCACGCAGCGAATATCTCCTGAATGGTGTGGAGGAGATTCCTTGTATGTACAGGTAAGCTTTGTTGTGAGATCATCTGTAAGTCAGTGGGCGGAGCTTCCTACCACTTCAGCCACCTGAAGACCGCAATATGTATATAAACGTTGCCGTCTTCAAGTGGTTTCCCGGGGTTATGGCTGAAGAAATCGGCCCCGGCTGGCTTTCTTCTTTCCGGATGGGATGAGACCCCTGCCCCCCCCCCCCCCCTGCCCCCCCCTCCCACTGCACGCCGGTGTTTCTCGGGATTACCGTTATCGCCACCCGACCAGAGAAACGATACAACGGTGCAGCCTTGTCAAGATGGCGACGATGAAAGACTATCTGGTCTTTGATCATCTCTATCATGATGGAGGACCGGAGTAACGCCATGACGTCACATCCGGTCGGCAGTAAAATACATTTTTTTCTTTTTTTTTTTTTTTTTTTAAAGCAGAAGTTCCAAAAAAAAATTTTTTTTCTTTTTGATCTTTTGCATTCAAAGGTAAAGAAAAGGTTTGGGGTCTTTTATTCCACAAGTCTCTTCTTAACCATTTAAATACCGGGCAATTTTCCCCCTTCCTGCCCCCAGGCCATTTTTCAGTTTTCAGCGCTCACACACTTTGAATGACAATTGCGCGGTCATACAACATTGTACCCAAACTAAAATTTTATCATTTTCTTCACACAACTAGAGCTTTCTTTTGGTGGTATTTAATCACCGCCGGGGTTTTTATTTTTTGCTAAATTAACAAAAAAAGACCAAAAATTTTGAAAAAAAAAACACATTTTTCTTTGTTTCTGTTATAAAAGTTTACAAATAAATAATTGTTCTTCATAAATTTAGGCCGAGATGTATTCTGCTCCATGTCTTTGGGGAAAATAACCCAAATTAGGATGTATTATTTAGTTTGTAGGAAAGTTATAGAGTTCACAAACTATGGGATAGATCTGAATTTTGATCAGTCCTGAAGTACTGACAGCCAATCTCATTTCTTGAGGTCCAAGAATGTCAGAATAGTACAGATATCCCCCAAATGTCAGGACGGTACAGATATCCCCCAAATGTCAGGACGGTACAGATATCCCCCAAATGTCAGGACGGTACAGATATCCCCCAAATGTCAGGACAGTACAGATATCCCCCAAATGTCAGAACAGTACAGATATCCCCCAAATGTCAGGACAGTACAGATATCCCCCAAATGTCAGAACAATACAGATCTCCCCCAAATGTCAGGACAGTACAGATCTCCCCCAAATGTCAGGACGGTACAGATATCCCCCCAAATGTCAGGACAGTACAGATCTCCCCCAAATGTCAGGACGGTACAGATATCCCCCCAAATGTCAGGACGGTACAGATATCCCCCAAATGTCAGGACGGTACAGATATCCCCCAAATGTCAGGACAGTACAGATATCCCCCAAATGTCAGAACGGTACAGATATCCCCCAAATGTCAGAACGGTACAGATATCCCCCAAATGTCAGGACGGTACAGATATCCCCCAAATGTCAGGACAGTACAGATATCCCCCAAATGTCAGAACGGTACAGATATCCCCCCCAAATGTCAGAACGGTACAGATATCCCCCCCAAATGTCAGCACAGTACAGATATCCCCCAAATGTCAGGACAGTACAGATATCCCCCAAATGTCAGGACGGTACAGATATCCCCCAAATGTCAGGACGGTACAGATATCCCCCAAATGTCAGGACGGTACAGATATCCCCCAAATGTCAGAACAGTACAGATATCCCCCAAATGTCAGGACAGTACAGATATCCCCCAAATGTCAGGACAGTACAGATATCCCCCAAATGTCAGGACAGTACAGATATCCCCCAAATGTCAGGACGGGACAGATATCCCCCAAATGTCAGGACGGGACAGATATCCCCCAAATGACCCCTTTTTGCAGAGTAGACAGTCCGACGTACTTCATAAGAGGAATGGCGAGTTTTTTGAAGTTGTATTTTTTTGTCATAATTTTTCGGAAAATGAAAAAATTAAAATTATTTTCACTATTTTTTTTTTTTTTTTACATACTGTCACCAGTGCAGTACAGCGTCATCATATAACTGGCATGGCGGTGAACAGGGACACTGACTGGTGACAGTATGAAAAAAAAAAATATATATATATATATATATATATATATATTTTTTTTTTATATTTAATTTTTTATTACATTTTTTTTTTTTTTTTTTTAAGATTTTTTTTTTCATATTTTACTATGACCAAAGTAGTACAATGTTACCATAGTAACATTGTACTACTTTGGGGAAGTGATCAGTATTTTTTTTTTTTTACACAATTTGCTTATAGCAAACAATTACTTTGCTATAAACAAGCATTTAGCTGAATGAAATCAATTCATTCAGCTTTTTTTTTTTTTCTTTTTTTTTTGTGCTTAGCTGTGATTTGGTCACAGCTAATCACATGACATGTGCATGTGACCTGCTGTGACCATTCACAGCTAGGCACTAGTATACAATGGATGGCATGAATGAAGCCATCCATTGTATACAACTGTCATGTGACCTGCTGTGATTGGTCACAGCAGGTCACATGGTACCGGCAACGGGGGCCGGTACTCAGATCTGTCACCGGCTGTGTCCGAGGTGCACGGCCCGTGACAGATCGCACTGCTGCGCCGCTCTGCATTAGCGCAAACTGCGCATGTGCATGAGCACGCCAAATGGCGTGCACCCGGAGTGGAGAGACACTTCTGAAGCCGCCAAACGGCCATTGGCCGGGCGGCTAATGGTTAAAGAGGACCTGTCATGCATATTTCTATTACAGGGAATGTTCACATCTCCCCTCTGTGAGATGGAGACGTTAGATTGTCAGCTCCTTGGGTCCAGAGACTGATGTGCAGTAGGTATAGGGCCGTGTCATGGATTGACGCTGTATAAATGCCAGTCATAAAAATTGTAAAAATTAGATTTCTTCTTCTGGTCGAATTTCAGATTTACGTTCGTTCATTTTCTGTGTCTTCTCTCTCAGGCAGCAGAATATAGAAGAGAACATGACGATCGCCATGGAGGAGGCTCCAGAGAGCTTCGGTCAGGTGGTGATGCTCTATATCAACTGCAAGGTGAACGGGTACCCTGTGAAGGCGTTCGTCGATTCAGGTGGGAACCCCTGCCATCACGGGGGGGTGGGGTCACGAGGGGGGGCGGGGTCAACAAGGTCACTAATCTCTATTCCTCATGGCAGGGGCCCAGATGACAATCATGAGTCAGGCCTGCGCCGAGCGTTGTCACATCATGAGGCTGGTGGACAGAAGGTGGGCCGGGATCGCTAAGGGGGTCGGCACGCAGAAGATCATTGGCCGAGTCCATCTGGGTAAGCCGCAGCAAACCTTTTGTTTTGTTCGATGTCTGATGGGGCCCCAAAGATCTTATTAGTATGATGCCTTTTGTATTGCAGCTCAGGTACAGATCGAAGGCGACTTCCTGCCCTGTTCCTTCTCCATCTTGGAGGAGCAGCCGATGGACATGCTGCTCGGCCTCGACATGTTAAAGAGACACCAGGTACTGATACGGGGACAATATTCCATCTTGTCTGGGTGAGAGCGCCACCCGGGGAGCTCTGTGAGCATTGCTCAGTGTTGGGGACTTGGGCTCCTTTCACACTGATTCCACGGAAGAAAAGCTGGTGACCCGCGTGTTCCAATGGAACTCCTCACACTGATCTGTTCCGGGTTCGGTGCAGTTTTGTTAAACTACTGCTTGCAGCATGATTGGTCCGGTTAAAAAAAAAAAAAACGTACTTTCCCATTGAAATCAATGGGAAACGCATCAAAAACGCACCCGCGGCGCGTTTTTGGTGCGCTTTTGAGTCACCTGTCCTGTAGAAAAAAAATGCGTCAAACACACGTGCGTTATTGCTGGGATCAGTTTGAAACCTCAGAGTGTTTCCACTATTGCAGCCAAACCTGAATGAACCCCACGAGGTTTGTCCTCATTCACTCAGCATGCCGATTGATTTTGGGTTTTTTTTTTCTATTTGTTACAATTTTAGAGACTTTTTTTGGGAGGTTTCATTGCTGATTAGCAGTTTTTTTTTTTTTTTTTTTGTTAAAATGAGCCTGTCCCAAGTCTGTCCTCCACTATCATACAGTGTGAGAAGTCCCCGCCTATCATACCGTGTGAGAAGCCTCCACCTCTTTACACCTTTAACCCTTTGATAGCAGAGACAGTGTTCAAATGTTAGAATTGGTGATGATGATCTGCCTGCATAGTACAGAGTTAAGCACAGCAACCCAACCCCCCCTTTATAAGCAGTCTTGCGCAGGTGTGGCGGCTCCTCCCCTGCGGTCTGGCGCAGGTGTGGCGGCTCCACCCCTGCGGTCTGGCTCAGGTGTGGCGGCTCCACCCCTGCGGTCTGGCGCAGGTGTGGCGGCTCCACCCCTGCGGTCTGGCTCAGGTGTGGCGGCTCCTCCCCTGCGGTCTGGCGCAGGTGTGGCGGCTCCTCCCCTGCGGTCTGGCGCAGGTGTGGCGGCTCCACCCCTGCGGTCTGGCTCAGGTGTGGCGGCTCCTCCCCTGCGGTCTGGCTCGGGGGTGTGGCGGCTCCTCCCCTGCGGTCTGGCGCGGGTGTGGCGGCTCCTCCCCTGCGGTCTGGCGCGGGTGTGGCGGCTCCTCCCCTGCGGTCTGGCGCGGGTGTGGCGGCTCCTCCCCTGCGGTCTGGCGCGGGTGTGGCGGCTCCTCCCCTGCGGTCTGGCGCGGGTGTGGCGGCTCCTCCCCTGCGGTCTGGCGCGGGTGTGGCGGCTCCTCCCCTGCGGTCTGGCGCGGGTGTGGCGGCTCCTCCCCTGCGGTCTGGCGCGGGTGTGGCGGCTCCTCCCCTGCGGTCTGGCGCGGGTGTGGCGGCTCCTCCCCTGGACTGAAACGGCTTCCTCTGATGTCACTGCACACTGTGAGCGTCTCACATTTGTACATTAGAAGTGACAGCCAGGAAACTAGCATTTTGCGAAGGCGTCAGCATTGTCCTCCAGGCATGAAATGGGTATTTGTGCTTGTATGTGTCCTGCTGCCCCTCTGGCTCGGTGGATTCTGGGTAATCCTCAGTCTGTGGATGACTTTCCATCTGATTCCGGCATTCTCCTTGTTTCCCTCTGCAGTGCTCCATCGACCTGGAGAAGAACGTGCTGGTGATCGGCACCACGGGTACTCGTACTAGCTTCCTGCCTGAGGCCGAGCTCCCGGAGTGCGCCAGACTAGCATACGGGCCGGGCAGGGAGGACATGCGTCCGGAGGAGATCGCGGATCGCGAGTTGGCGGAAGTATTGCAGAAGTCGGCTGATGAAGCAGGTAAGCCGTGCACAGTCCACTCCTACACGCATGTCCATCCCGTGTGCATGTGTCTGAGATGTGATTAACCTGTTATTGGCCACCCCGTGTGCCCCATTGAGCCTGGCCACCCCGTGTGCCCCATTGAGCCTGGCCACCCCGTGTGCCCCATTGAGCCTGGCCACCCCGTGTGCCCCATTGAGCCTGGCCACCCGTGTGCCCCATTGAGCCTGGCCACCCCGTGCGCCCCATTGAGCCTGGCCACCCCGTGCGCCCCATTGAGCCTGGCCACCCCGTGCGCCCCATGGAGCCTGGCCACCCCGTGCGCCCCATGGAGCCTGGCCACCCCGTGCGCCCCATGGAGCCTGGCCACCCCGTGCGCCCCATGGAGCCTGGCCACCCCGTGCGCCCCATGGAGCCTGGCCACCCCGTGCGCCCCATGGAGCCTGGCCACCCCGTGCGCCCCATGGAGCCTGGCCACCCCGTGCGCCCCATGGAGCCTGGCCACCCCGTGCGCCCCATGGAGCCTGGCCACCCCGTGCGCCCCATGGAGCCTGGCCGCCCCATGGAGCCTGGCCACCCCCGTGCGCCCCATGGAGCCTGGCCACCCCGTGCGCCCCATGGAGCCTGGCCACCCCGTGCGCCCCATGGAGCCTGGCCACCCCGTGCGCCCCATGGAGCCTGGCCACACCCCGTGCGCCCCATGGAGCCTGGCCACCCCGTGCGCCCCATGGAGCCTGGCCACCCCGTGCGCCCCATGGAGCCTGGCCACCCCGTGCGCCCCATTGAGCCTGGCCACCCCGTGCGCCCCATTGAGCCTGGCCACCCCGTGCGCCCCATTGAGCCTGGCCACCCCCGTGCGCCCCATTGAGCCTGGCCACCCCGTGCGCCCCATTGAGCCTGGCCACCCCGTGCGCCCCATTGAGCCTGGCCACCCCCGTGCGCCCCATTGAGCCTGGCCACCCCGTGCGCCCCATTGAGCCTGGCCACCCCGTGCGCCCCATTGAGCCTGGCCACCCCGTGCGCCCCATTGAGCCTGGCCACCCCGTGCGCCCCATTGAGCCTGGCCACCCCGTGCCCCCCATTGAGCCTGGCCACCCCGTGCGCCCCATTGAGCCTGGCCACCCCGTGCGCCCCATTGAGCCTGGCCACCCCGTGCGCCCCATGGAGCCTGGCCACCCCGTGCGCCCCATGGAGCCTGGCCACCCCGTGCACCCCATGGAGCCTGGCCACCCCGTGTACCTGAAGCACCGCCGGCCGTATTTATCAAAGTGCCCGCAATAAAACCAAATCTAAGATTTCACTCATGGAGGAGGGGGAGTTTGGAATCGTTGGCTGAATAGCAGCCCCGCCCTCCAGAAACGTCCCTATTATACAGATTATCTGATGCCCGGCACACAGAGGGCCCGGGGCCACTAACTGCACGAAGCTTGTTGTGTTCTAACACCTGTTTGCCGTTTTTGTGTCTCCTAATCCACACAGAGCAGCAGAAACCTTGATGCATGTACGTGTGATCTGCCGCAGGAGGGGGCCAAACGCAGGTAATTCCACTGAGGAGAATGCTTTGTGTAAAGTAGGACTCCGCTCAGAAGAATCTATCCATGAGGAGGTGCCAGTAGTCAGAGCGCATTGATCGCTTTACAGGGACGCCATTAGAAGTCATGGGGCCCTGTGCAGCTTGCCTGACGGGGCCCCCTAGTGTCTACCCATAAACTGCACTCTGTATCCCCCAATACCTCAACATTTCATTTGTATCCCCCCCCCCCAATGCTTGGCACCCTCTATCCCCAATACCCCAACCCTTCATCTGTATCCCCCCAACTCTTTGCACGCTCTGTATTCCCCCAGTACCCCGGTACTTGGCACCCTCTGTATTCCCCCAGTATCCCCCCCCCCCCGGTACTTGGCACCCTCTGTATCCCCCAGTCCCCCAGTACCCCCCCCGGTACTTGGCACCCTCTGTATCCCCAATACCCCAACCCTTCATCTGTATCCCCCCCCCTTGGCACCCTCTGTATTCCCCCCAGTACCCCGGTACTTGGCACCCTCTGTATTCCCCCAGTACCCCGGTACTTGGCACCCTCTGTATTCCCCCAGTACCCCCGGTACTTGGCACCCTCTGTATCCCCCAGTACCCCAGTACTTGGCACCCCTCTGTATCCCCAATACCCCAACCCTTCATCTGTATCCCCCCCCTTGGCACCCTCTGTATTCCCCCAGTACCCCAACCCTTCATCTGTATCCCCCCCCTTGGCACCCTCTGTATATCCCCAATACCCCAACCCTTCATCTGTATCCCCCCAACTCTTTGCACCCTCTGTATCCCCCAGTACCCCGGTACTTGGCACCCTCTGTATTCCCCCCCCAGTACCCCGGTACTTGGCACCCTCTGTATTCCCCCAGTACCCCGGTACTTGGCACCCTCTGTATTCCTCCAGTACCTGGCACCCTCGGTATTCCCCCAGTACCCCCGGTACTTGGCACCCTCTGTATTCCCCCCCCCCCACTTGGTACCCCGGTACTTGGCACCCTCTGTATTCCCCCAGTACCCGGTACTTGGTATTCCCCCCCCGGTTGGCACCCTCTGTATTCCCCCAGTACCCCGGTACTTGGCACCCTCTGTATTCCCCCTGTACCACATGGCACTGTCTGGGGTAGTTGAGGTACCCCGGTCGGGAAGCCTCTGTATTAGTACTTGGCACCAATGTAAAGTAACTACTTCAGAACACTCTCCATTCCCCCGGTGCTCTGTGGTGTGTTTTGTTCTGTTGTATTACTCTGGGGAGAAGTGTTAAAGCATTGAGCAAAGCTGTACCATTGGAGGCTCCTCTGGGGGTACCCCGGTAGCTGGCACTCTGTATTGGACTTGGCACCCTCTTCCCCCGGGTTGGCAAGCTGTATCAGAGGCCACTGGAGGCTCCTCTGTACCCCCGGGTTTGTAGGGTTTTTGACCCTTGTATCCTCTGTGAGGGTTCTAGCATTGGCACCCTGCCCTCTGTATTCCCTGACCATTGGAGGCTCCTTGTCGGGTTCTAAGCTGGCACCCATTGGATTCCTCTGTCCAGGGTTTGTAGGGACTTGGAGGCCCTTCCACTGGAGGCAGGGAGTTGCCCTCTTCTAGTGTGAGGAGCAGACTGGTCTGACCCTGGGGGGGGAGGGGGGGGGGGGGGGGGGGTTGTTTGGAGGTGAGTGGTGGGGGGGGGGGGGGCTGGGGGTTTTGTAGGGAATTGCCTCTTCTACTGCGAGGAGCAGACTGGTCCGGCCCTGGGGGGGGAGTTGAGGATTGGGAGGGGGGGGGTTGAGGGGAGGGGGGGGGGGGGTTTGTAGGGAGTTGCCTCTTCTACTGTGAGGAGCAGTCCGGGGGGGGGGGGGGGGGGGTTGAGGGGGGGGGGGGGGGTTTGTATGTGGGGGAGTTTGCCTCTTCTAGTGTGAGGAGCAGACTTCTACGGCCCTGGGGGGGGTTGAGGTGGGGTGGGGTGGGGGGGGGGGTGTTTGTGCAGGGAGTTGCCCCTTCTAGTGTGAGGAGCAGACTCTGTCTGCTCCGGGGGGGGGGGGGGGGGGGGGGGGGTTGAGGAATGGGAGGGGGGGGGGTGTTTTGCAGGGAGTTGCCCCTTCTAGTGTGAGGAGCAGACTCGTCCGGGCCCTGCGGGGGGGGGGGGGGTTGGGGGGGGGGGGGGGGTTGAGGAATGGGAGGGGGGGGTTTTTAGGGAGTTGCCCACTTCTATGAGGGGGGGGGGTGTTTTGTAGGGAGTTGCCCCTTCTAGTGTGAGGGGAGCAGACTCGTCCGGCCCGGGGGGGGGGGGGGGGAGGGGGGGGGTTGAGGAATGGTAGGGGGGGTGTTTTGCAGGGAGTTGCCCCTTCTAGTGTGAGGAGCAGACTCGTCGGCCCGGGGGGGGGGGGGGGGGGTTGAGGGTGGGGGGGGGGGGTTGGGGGGGGGGGGGTGTTTTGTAGGGAGTTGCCCCTTCTAGTGTGAGGAGCAGACTCGTCCTGGCCCCCCGGGGGGGGGTTGAGGAATGGGAGGGGGGGGGGGTTGAGGAGTGGGAGGGGGGGGGTGTTTTGTAGGGAGTTGCCCCTTCTAGTGTGAGGGCCAGGGGGGGGGGGGGGGGGGGGGGGTTGTTTGTAGAGGCCCCTTTCTAGTTGCAGACTCTTCTAGTGTGAGGAGCAGAGTTGCCCCGTTAGTGAGGGGCAGACCGGCCCTGGGGGGGGGGGGGGGTTGAGGGGGTGGGAGGGGGGGTGTTTTGTAGGGAGTGCCCCTTTTGTGGGGGCAGTTTGGCCCGGGGGGGGGGGGGGGTGTTTTTGCCTCTAGTGTGAGGGGCAGACTGTCTGGGGGGGGGGGGGGGGGGGGGGGTTGAGGAATGGGGGGGGGGGGTGTTGAGGAGTAGAAGGGGGGTGTTTTGTAGGGAGTTGCCCCTTCTAGTGTGAGGGGCAGACTCGTCTGGCCTGGGGGGGGGGGGGGGGGGGGTTGAGGAATGGGAGGGGGGGGGTTGTTGAGGAGTGTGAGGAGTAGGGGGGTGTTTTGTAGGGAGTTGCCCCTTCTAGTGTGAGGGGCAGACTCGTCTGGCCCTGGGGGGGGGGGGGGGGGGGGGGGTTGAGGAATGGGAGGGGGGGTGTTGAGGAGTAGAAGGGGGGTGTTTTTGTAGGGAGTTGCCCTTCTAGTGTGAGGGCAGACTCGTCTGGCCCTGGGGGGGGGGCAGGGGGGGGGGGGGGTTGGGGGTTGGGGGGGGGGGATTTGCCCCTTTGAGGAGGGGGTCGGGGGGGGGGGGGGGTGTTTTGCAGGGAGTTGCCTCTTCTAGTGTGAGGGGCAGACTCGTCTGGCCCTGGGGGGGGGGGGGTGTTTTGCAGGGAGTTGCCTCCATTGATCACATTCTTTGTACAATCCTGAGGCCGGGGCTGACCGATTCTGACACAATCTCATTTCTTTTCCGTTTTCTCGCCTTTTTCACAGACAAGGAAACTACCTCAGTGGATCGTCCATCTCTGGTGCCAGCGATCGATGGGCTTCACCACCCTGTCCATGCCCCGGGCCTCACGTCAGCTACTCCTGCTCATTCAGTGTCCACCCAGACCAGCGTCTGCCCACCCCCGTCCACAGAGAGCAGAGAGTCGGCCATGAGCGCCGTGGACGCTGCCTGCGGTGGGGAGCGCACTTCTCAGACCGGCCGTTCGCCTTCCGGACTTTCAGACTCGCGGCAGAGTCTTCATCTTCTCAGTTATCCAGCGGAGATCGGGACAGAGGACCCGCCGTGGCCTTTAATGACGAGCTAGCGGGTGACTCGGTCGCAGACTTTGCCCAGCGCCATAGGGAGCCTGCGACTCCGACTTCACATCTTCAAGCATTTCTTCATACTGAACCGCATGCTGGTCACTCACCTCAGACTCCTCTACCTGCAAGTATGGAGGACACCATGGATGTGGACACGCCTCTCGCTGTACCTGCTGCTGAGCCCTGCGATCAGTACCGTGCCAACGACCAGCCAGCCTCATCCCACCGCCTGTCGCTCCTGACGGTATGGACCGCAACACCCCGCACGGTGGCCCCAAGACGCACGATGGCCCCAAGACACCCAATGTCCCTGGACTTGACTTGGAGGAAAGCTGCTTCTCTCTGGCCGCCGCTCTGAAAGAACTCCATAAATTATTATTGGTCAGCGGCCAGGGGCCCTCTAGAACGGCAGCAGAACCACGTCCTACGGGTCACCCAGGATCCTACCAGAACGGGTTATTGGAGGACAGCCCCTCCGAGGGGGACATGACTAGTGAAGGGGACACTAAGGGGACTCTGCTGTGTAACGACACCACAAATCCAGCAATCTCTGAAGACTCCATACAGGATGAGAACAATCTCTGCACTTCTAATATCACATCTGACGTTACAGCGTCTCTGACTGTGCAGCGTGGCCCCCCTGTGTCCAGTCTGCCCTGTGCTGATGTGCAGCGTGGCCCCCAGTGTCCAGTCTGCCCTGTGCTGATGTGCAGTATGGGAACCCCCAGTGTCTAGTCTGCCCTGTGCTGATGTGCAGCGTGGGCCCCCAGTGTCCAGTCTGCCCTGTGCTGATGTGCAGCGTGGCCCCCCAGTGTCCTAGTATGCCCTGTGCTGATGTGCAGCGGGAACCCCCCCAGTGTCAGTCTGCCCTGTGCTGATGTGCAGCGTGGAACCCCCAGTGTCCAGTCTGCCCTGTGCTGATGTGCAGCGTGGCCCCCCAGTGTCCAGTCTGCCCTGTGCTGATGTGCAGCGTGGCCCCCCCCAGTGTCCAGTCTGCCCTGCGCTGATGTGCAGCGTGGCCCCCCAGTGTCCAGTCTGCCCTGCGCTGATGTGCAGCGTGGCCCCCCATCCAGTCTGCCCTGCGCTGATGTGCAGCGTGGCCCCCAGTGTCCAGTCTGCCCTGCGCTGATGTGCAGCGTGGCCCCCCAGTGTCCTGTCTTGCCCTGCGCTGATGTGCAGCGTGGCCCCCCAGTGTCCAGCTCTTCCCTGCGCTGATGTGCAGCGTGGCCCCCCAGT